GGATAGTCCTTCCCCAATAGCTTGCTGCAAAAGAAGACCCTGCGGATAGTCCTTCCCCAATAGCTTGCTGCAAAAGAAGACCCTGCGGATGGTCCTTCCCCAATAGCTTGCTGCAAAAGAAGACCCTGCGAATAGTCCTTCCCCAATAGCTTGCTGCAACTCAAATTCAACCGAAGTTCCGCCCAATCCCACTTACATCCTTCGGAACAGGAGTTGCGCGCACGCGCACACACACACACACACGCACGCACACTCTTTCGTTCTGTCTTCAGGTGTTGGCTTGATGATCTTCGAAAGCGGAATGCATTTCGATTTCGAGAAAGCCAAGGCAAGGTTCTCTGCTCAAGCATGCTTCCTTGTCATCCTTTTCACAGTCACATACTTCAAGTATCAACATTTGGAGACCATGTGTCGTAAAATCCCGCCCGGTGGAGTCATGGGATGTTATCGATTTAGTTTGGCCAGATCGTCGGCCTGCCTGCCTGCTGCGTCGCTGTCCTCGGCACGATCCTTCCACTGGTCGGCACCCCAGTCACTCGCAGCGGCTGCACTCGGCAAATCTGCACTGCCCCAGTGAAGCCGAGCAGTTCTGCAATGACAATTCCGTGCCTCAGATCGTTGGTAGCGCTTTGACCGTTCTCTTTGGACGACCCCTCATGCCTGATTCTCAGACACGGCTATGGCTTCCCTCACCTGCAACAAGAGAAGAAGACTGCAAGTTACGTCTGCGAGCCCCTAGGCCAGATGGTATCTCTGCAGGGACGGCGCTGGCTCCTACAAGTGCGCGGCTCGAGAGAAGAGATCCTCTGCCCGTGCCCTTTCTCCCTCAGGTGTGGGCATCGCGCTCCGTCTCCTCGGCGAGGCCGGCGTCCTCCAGGAGAACTTTGGCCAGGCCAGAGCCAGGGCTTCGCACCGTCGGACGCGACTTGAAATCACGCCAGTCATGTCTTTCTTTGTCCCTCTCGCAGGCCATCATTACCGCAGCCTTCGTGGTTCCGAGCTGAGAAACTGAATCTAAGCCAGTGGCGGCCAGCTGACACGGCCCAGTTGACAAAGCTGCAGTTTTCAAGGCATAAAACAATTAAAACAAGATCGCTTTGCACGCTTCCGCATGAACAAACGAGGACGACATCCTCTCGCTGGTGCTCTTCAACGTGTTGTTCAGTCTTCTTCTCGGTGCTTCGGAGTGTTCCACATACAAGGGAGCTGCAGATGTTTGTATGGGCTGTAGCACGGACGGAATACACAAAGAGGGGCATGCAAGGCTTGGGGGGTGAGTTCGACATGTTCAAGACCGTGGTCGGTGACTTAATTGACCGTCGTTGACTCCGGCTGAGAGTTGGACGAGCGCAAAGACACCTCGCCTCGCCCCGCCAGTACGCTCCGATCATTGGAGTGGCCTTCATGCTTTTTGCCATGTGGTTGGCAGTAAAGTCAGAGCCTTGGAACCGAGAGTTGACTGCATCTTGGCGAGTAGAGCTACAGTTCTGGCCGTGACCTGCCAAGTTTCTGGCCAAAGTTCCTGCCCCAATACATTCTGGCAAGGGTGCGCCGCTTTGAACTTGTGGCAGGGGGAGCGTTACTACTCAACTGTCGCAGGTACCAAAGAAGAAGGACGCACAAGCGAAGATCTCTGCGCAGGACGAGGCAACGAGTAGCAACTCTTCGATCTGCGTCATAGATTCGAAGTGGCTGAGGCCCTCTTTTTCTTCATGTTCGTGCGACACTCAGACATTTGCAGAATCGAAAGCCAGAAAGTTGGTACCATGATTTTGTGCGTTGGTCGGGCTATGACCAGTCAGAGATGACACATACCCGGAAAGACTTGGGTTTGGGTCTCATGTTGTTGGCTCTCAGAACGTCCCACGATAGTCTCCAAGAGCGACTCGAAGCAAAGCTCGCAAGCATCAGCTTTGCTCTTAACGGTGCGGCGAAAAATGCGTGAAAGAAGGTTCCTGCATGCTGAGCTTTGCACTTGAAACTTCCAACGCTTAGGCTGTACCGGCTCCTCTTGTTGTTTGTTCTTTGCCACAAGATCTTAGGCTCTGCTCTTTGTGTATGCCACGATCACCCACTTCCTCGGAACGCACCTGCCGGGAACTGAAAGCTATGGGATGGCTTTCCACAGGTGTGATGCAATCCTGTCTCGGCTGTCTCGGCCTTGAGGTGGGGATGCTTCATCGCTGGGATGTCTTTCGCTTGCCTGAATCCGCCTCATCATGCCCACCATGCCAGTGCCCCAGTGGATGGCGTCGAAGACCACACGCGGTGGAGGGTGCTTGTTCGAGGTTTGGGTGAAGCAGACAAAGCGAGTGACCTCCTGGATGATCCGCCAGGGGCCTGTGATTGATGGATAATTAGGATCGGAGCTTACGAGGATCACCTGGAAACGTGACGGAATGCTCGAGGCATTTTCTTCGCCGGGACCGTGGCTTTCACCATCCCCTTGCAGCAGCTGATGTCTATCGAAGCCTTCTGGAAAGGCCAGTGCCGGGATGCACATGGGTTTGCAGCAAGCTGAACACTGTGAAGGAACAGCTCACGCAACTAATGCAGTGCACGAATCTTCTGGCCAGATCGGAGTTGAATATCTAGTTGCAGTCCGTCCGTATGCAGGCTATAAGTCTTAGCGCAAGATCTCTGCCTTGCCACGACGAACATCGCTAGAAAAGCAGAGAGCAGCGACCTGGTGTGCAGGCAGCATCATGGGGATCTTCGCGTGCATTGGAACCAAGGCGGTCCACCGAGAGTTCAGAGAGCAGGGCACAAAGCATCACCGGGCTGCAGCCTCTCGCATTGCCAGAGCAGACTTCTTGCAAAGAGGGCTTCTTAGTCTGCAGGTGGTTTGTGCACCGTTCATGGGCAAAGCGCGCTGGGTCATTGGTTGGGCCATGGTCGGGCGAGCTGAGTTCGCGTGCGGCACCTGGCATGCTAGATGGCCATGACTGTTACTCGAAACGGAAGATGTCTCGGAAGGTACTTGATCGCACAAATGGCGCTCTCCGCCGGGATGCTGGATGCAGGGCATCTTGGCTGCGCGCCAGGGGAGCTCTCCAGAAAAGTGCGGGCAGTAGGACGGTCGTAGACTTGACCTTGGCGCATATCTCAGAGCTCTCCAAGTCGCTGCATCCAGTCCTCTAAGGACCTTCTCCGTAGTGATTTGGGCCCTGCTCTATGCGAAAGCCGGCACGCTTATGAGCAGTAAAGCGCCCCAAGCTGAGTGCAGAGTTTTGGGAAAGCGAAGGCTCTGTTCCGAGCTCAAGCTGGAAAAGGACACTTGTCAAGAAAGCCCAGACGAAGGGAGGGAGGGCAGACCGCCTTTGCTGCCCAACCAAAGGGTGCTGCTTTGCCAAGAGGAGGGGCATGATCAGGCTATCACAAAAGCTTCGGCTGTGTTCGACCTTTCCCTGGACAGCACAAACCGGCAAGAGAGAAGAGAGAGACAGAGAGAGAGAGAGAGAGAGATAGATTTTTTGTGCACAGGGGTACGCGGGTACGTGGGACAGTGTTGTACTAGCGAACCCCCGAAAGCCCCATGAACAACGGGGGGCCCCATGGGCCCGGGGGGCGTGACGAGCCCCTTGCACCTGAAGGAAGGAAGAAGAAGCTTTGTGTGGGGGAGCTCCTCCTCATCGTCTGTCAGAAGAAGAACTCTGCCAAACAAGTCCAAAATGGGCTTTCAGTAGACGACAGTGGGGCTCACAAGAATCGCACGAGAGTCCAGGGGTTTGGGGCATACGTGGCAAGCAAGTATGCTGGCCAATGCATGTCTCCGAAGTCGGGGCCAGGCCACCATCTTCGCACCCTTCATCTTCCGGCTGCTCCTGAATCGATATGTGGCCTCAGAGGGGCTCGGCGACGTCGGAAGCTGAGTTCGAGCTCGCAGAATTGAACGAGATCGCAGCAGGGCTGTTTTAGTTGTAGTCTTGCATTGCCGTCGATCAGGGAGCTGCAGGAACTGGTTTCAGCGACTCGCGTGGGACTTAGCGAGGGATCGAGCTCATGGGCACAGTGAGCACATCCTTTGAGTTCTTGCTTGAAGCATGAGAGCTGTGGTGTACTTTCTCTTACACCATCACTTACTTGCCTCAGGGACTCGGACATTTGGGGCGAGGAGAAGGAGCCGGAATCTCAGTTCCGTGTTGTGCTATGACATTTGTCTTTGGCAGCTGTCGCCCTGCTGGGGTGCGCCTCCCAAAGCCTTTGCATGTCGCTCGGCGCACCTGTAGTGATGCACCGAGGGCCTCCGATCTCATGGGAAGTAGATACATCGCTTTTGGAGATGCTGCCGGTTCCTTGGTTTGTGCCAAGGAACAGTAAGAAAGATGAAGACGACCTAGAGGCCGGACTGCAGGTTTCGAACTGGCCAGTTGGTGCCTGCTTGTTTGACGTCACGGGGCAATCTTTAAGCAATGATTACTGATTACTGATGACACATCAACAAAATGCGTCTCAGCCGTTCAATGTGCAGAAGACAAACGAGCTACCATATCTGTGCCCTATGCGTCCTCTGCGTGGTTAGATGCAAACGTTCACGGTGTCAAGTGCCGACTTGTTGGTGAAAAGAAGCTGTGAGCATAGGCCGTGTGACGGCTTTTGCTCATGGCCGCACGGCCTGAAAGAAACGTGATGCCCGTGGTTGATCTCTACTTACCACGCTGACAGTATTCTCCAACCTAGAATCAGCAACTCTTTTCTGACATAAGTCACCTCCATCCTTCTGTTTGTTTCTTGTGTTTTGCCAGCTGGGAATCTGCCTGGTATTTGTGTCTGTGCACTCTTCCACAGCTCAGTGGTTGCAGGACATTGACGTTGCAGGGGCATTGAAAAACAAGCCTACAGAGCGGTGCCCTTAAACAGCTGCAGGGCTGAGGCGTCGTCGCGCACCCCAACCAATCGAACTAGCCAAGGTACGGACAGTCCAGCCCAGGTGGTGCAGCTTGGCCCAAGAACTGGAAGCCTTGCCATCTCGACTCGTTTGCTGTGCAAGCACAGCACATCAGAGCACTTGACAGTTGTGATAAGGAGATGAAAGTGGCCTTCTCAGTTCCAAGCAGTCCAGTACTTCTCGTTGTAGCACGAAGTCTACCATCCCAAATTCTGGTCTCCCATTGGGCTCACTGTGTTCCTGGAATGCACCGTGGAGCAGCTCGCTGAGGCCGTAGATGCCAGGGCTGTTCGTAATGCAGACGACAAAGGCCCGAACGCTGCCTTTTCTCATCACTTGGCAAGATGGGGAGAGAGAGATCGTTGGCTTTACCTTCTCATGTTCATAGATGCTGGCGGCAGGCAAAAGTGGCTTCCTCTGCTGCCTATTCTTCAAGAAGGCAGGTCTGCACCAAGGGCCTAAAGGCCTGCTGCAAAAGAGATGGGAAGTAGTGACGGAGTAGTGGCACGGTTGTCCAACCGAAGCTTGTCCTGCTGTCTGGCTGCCGAAGGCGGTGGTCAGCAGGTGCCACTGAACACCATGCACTCGAAGGGACACATCCTAGACCACTGCTTATCGCCACAGCTTGCGGGTAGCCAACGAGCAGGCAACACACGCGATCGATTCGATAGCAAGCCGTCAAACTCGTGAAACCTTTGCACGGCTCCAGATTTCATGCGAGAAGGCATCGAAGCATGAAATGTCGGGGATAGCTGCCCCATTGGATGCTCATGATGTAGCCAAAGAGTACTCCTGGTGCCGTGTTCGCTTTCCTCAGTCCATGGCCTTCATGGGAGTACCTTAACCTACCCATTTGGTAGAAGCTCTGTTTCCTTTTGGATGTTGATTCCAGCTGTCGAGTTTGCTTGTATACCCGGTTTGTCTCAGACTCTTGTTGCCACGATTGTGCACATGCATCAAGCGGAGCGCGAAGACAACGCGAACGTCGAGAGAATGCATGCTCAGAGACAAACCTGCCACGGCAGCAATTTGATGCGATTGATGCCGCAGCTGCTGTGCAGCATATACGCTTCCAGGATTCCTTCCATTCTTGGCATGTTAATCGCACATGTTGCAGGTAGTGGTCCACTAAAGAGGCAATCTGAGGGCAAATAGCAGCCAATAACACATTGGCTCCCTTGCAACTGTGTTCGGGAGCATAAAGGCAGAAAGAAGTTCCAGATCTATTCTGAAGTCATGTTGCCAAAAACACGAAGAGCTCCTTGAGTTTCACCTTTCCAGAGATTTTGTCAGAGAGGGCCGAGAAGTAGCCAAATCTTTGGCCTCGAGGGCGTCTCGCATCGGCCTTACTTGACGCCGGCGCCACGTGCTGCATGTTCACCATTCGGATGACTACTCGTACAGCGCATCCCATAGCGATACTTGGCCGTGTCAATGTGGCTTCGACAGCTGCGCCGCAGGTCTTCCGAGGCTGTGGAGAGGAAGACAGCACTTACATTCAACATCAAAGCACACATTGATCTTGCTACTGCTACTGCTCTTTCTCTCCATTTGCTTTTTACAAAGCTAGTGACCTAGTCCTGGTCCCAAAACAAGCTCAGACACTTGTTTGTGTGTCTTTGCATTCTAGGGATGGTGGAAAATGCATCCACCGTTGCAATGTCTCGGATCAACGCAAGTGCTTCTTCTGACTTAAGATTGTGGGCATCGGCTGGGGGCTAGAGACTCGGGAAGTGCTTGCGTTGATTTGGGCGGCGTTTTTCAGCGTTGGGCACCGAAGACACAATTTTTTTGCGCCGTTTGTCAATCAATTTTCAGTCTCAATTGCTTTCTCGACTTCGAGGAACTCAATCCTGCAAGAGGATGAGTTGCAGCTTCCTGGTGCCAAGATGGCCAATGTTGCCTTGTCCGTGGTGTCGTTGAAGGTTCGCGCCACAAAACAAGTTGAGACAGTGCGTGAGCCTCTCAAAAGCGATGCTGTACCAGGTAGCCGCCCGTTTGAGGTGTCGAGATGATGTTGAAGGAAAACGGGAACTGTAGGCTTCCTAAGCCCAGTACTCGCATCCCGAACTCCTCCGTACGGTGGCTTTCTCCTCTGGTTCCACAGCACTCGCGCCTTTCATGTCTCTCGCTGTCGTGACGACGGCTGCGGCATTGGAAAGGCTTTGGACTGCTCGACCCTGCAGTACCTGGACTCTTTGGCATCAGTGGCATCACCTTCAGAGGGACGTGCTTCAAGCAGATGTGCACAGAGCAGACCAGGTAGACCTTCGAGATGAGTCTTGACTCCAGCACGGGCTGCTGTGTTGTGCTACCAGCAACCCCTGCTGTTCTGTTGTCGTGCCCCTTCTGCGATTCCTCAAGGGCTGTAGAAGCAGAGGCAAACAGGTACACTCAGCGATCACTCGCGCGACAAATCAAGTCCTGAGCTCATCTCGACCTGAGTCAGGTGTCTGCAGTTGCCTCTGCAGGTTCGTGCAGCTTGTGCATTGCTACACTCGTTTGTGACCTCCACAGTTGCTCAAACTGATCGGAACCTAGAGCCGACCGACACGCCTTGCAATCCCAAGCTTCGCTAGTGGTGCAGCATGGTGCAACGAGGTGAGACGCTGGGTCTAACCGTGACTAACCGTCATGCAGAAGGGAGGGTAGACTGAGATCGGAAGAAACAAAGACAAGCGTCCAACAGAGCCACAACGACAAACACAGAAGAAACTGAGACTTCGCATTTCGAGCGCTTTCCCTTGGCCGACATGGCGAAGCCTGGGACCCGAGCTACGATGGCGCTCCTGGCAAGGCCTGCGGATCTTTCCTTTGCTTTTTTGTTTGTTTCGGTTTGTCGCGGCTGAGTTGTCTGCGTTGGATGCCGTTGGATCCAGGCGCTGGATGCGCGGGAGCACGCTGAGCCTCAGCCGGGCCCCGTCCTCAAACGATGGCCCCAAAGTGCGCGTGATCCGCGGCATGTTGAACTTCAGGGCACGAAGATCCACCGTGCAATCATAGAAGTGCTGCCGCTTCGCTGCCCAGGCATCCCCGGCAATTGCTTTGAGAGCTTTCTCTGATGCCCCGGCGCTGACGCGGCTTGAGGCGAGTTAGATGTTGCACACGCTCTCTCAAGAATCCTCGTCCTTCTTCTTGCTCTGTCTGATGTGTCACAACTTGCTTCCGGTGTAGAAGCAGAAGAAGCCGAGCGACAACTACCTGGACATGCACTCGCTGGTGACCCGCCTTCGCCGCGGCCTTAAGCTCTCCTCCAAGACGAAAGCTCAAAGCCAAAGCGCACCTTTGCGAGGTGAGTTGTTCCCGCCGGCACCGGCAATGGGTGCACCCATCAATGGTGATGTGGTCACGTCCGTCACAGAGGCGAGCCAGCTTGCGGAAGAAACAGTTAAGAAACACCCCACCTCTGAACTCGCGGACCTTGTGCCAGATGTTGACCAGAATCCAATGGGAAAAAGGAATCTACTAGGCAAAACGTCCAATCTACACTAGTAGTGCTGGTACTCAGACGTCTTGTCTTGTAGGGGTTTTGCTCGCGGCACCGTTCTGGCAGACTCTGCAGAGCGTGAAGCTGAACCCACGTGAATGGCAGCAGCACGCAGTCTACCGGCGGGGGCGCTATACCAGGCGACCGCTGCACGGTAATGCCATGCTAGCCGAAGAAGGGTCGGACAAGTTCTTCCAGAAAGTTTCCATACAGGAACAGGGGTGCCTCGCCGTTCGAACATTCTATGACATGGAAGTAGAAGACAAGGATAGAGTCGGCCGAAGATTTGAAGTTGATAGGGATTTCCTGCAAGCTGCAGTCCTCGGCAGTTTTGTGCATGGAACGGTTTCCTTTCGTGCGGAGACCTGCGCAGGAACATAGTTGGATACTCGCCAAATCAATTCATCGCCACAGCCTCAGACCGAATGAGAACGTGCTCTTGGGAGTTCCACGCTGTGTGTGCCAACATGATGCATGTCTCTAGAGACGGCAGGTAGTCTGGTAATGATTTTAATGGCTGTTGATAGCTTGTCAGAGGTTCTGGGGGATGTTCCTTTTCGGCCCGACACTTCTGGTCCGAGCCAACCGAGGTGCTGCTGCTGTGTTGGGAGCGGGGCCAACAGAGCCCCATCCATGACCATGCAGGTGAAAGGCTGAGAGCGCTTTCTCCATGGCGGATCGCCCATGGTGGGAAGTCGTTCCAGGTCGACTCCTTGTCTTTGCTGAAGATGCTGAGGTGCTCACTGCTTTATCAAGATGCTTAGTGGACAGCTTCAAGTGCGCACGTCACGTTTTGAGAATTTGGTTTATGGGATCTGGTGTTACCAACCATGGTGTGCCCACAGTTTGCGAACAGCGCAATGTTCCGAGTTAAGAGGTACTGTGCTTCGGCATGCTTGGGCCTGCGTCAGTTTATCCAGTTCGAGGGGTGGGTGTGCACTTACGCCCTACCGTGTGCAACGATGCTACGGGCACAAGTGGGAGGCGGAGGCACACGTGCCGCCCTTTAGCTGCCGTGTCTCGGAGTACCTGGGCAACAGCAGTCATAGCCTTGTACCAACTACGTTCCTGTACTTTTGACCGCCCGCCAGGTCTCACGTTGTGAGCTGCAAGGTCTAGCGGAGTCTAGCGCATTAAAGCCTCTGCGAGGTCTAATACTGCAAGCTTTCGCAGGGTCTGCTAGAGTGAAGAGCCACATCTTCGAAAAGCCCAACGAGTAAGGAGAAGGAACAAGCCTGCGTGGTCAGGGGGCCGTGGCCAATTCTGAGAGCCCAAACAGCCAGAGCAGCATGTCGCAGCCATGTTAGAAGATGCTGAATCCATGTCCGAAGCACGTCCAGCCAGGAGCGCAAATTCGCTTGGGCTCCAAACGGCTCCTCTGGCCCACAGGCGTGGAGAGATCCCGGCATATGCTCCTGAGACTAGGCTTCTATGATTCACGGTGCGCAGTGCAGGCAGGGCCTCCTGGCCTTTTGGATGCATCTGACACAGAGAAGAGTGCTCGGGGCCTCAAGTCTGCTACAGAAAGCGTCTGGAGTCAAAGTCATTCACTTCTGGGCCTCGACTCAACTCTGAGTGTGTGAGTGCTGTGCTCTTGGACATGGTTTCGACAGATCCAGGTGCTTGCTCGCAGATGCAGAGTGGCTGTTGTGCAATCTAGCCAGCATTTTCTGCAGTTTCAAGCGAGTGAATGGCCAGCCTTTTGCATGTCTTTGACGTAGGTTGTGAATACACGAACTTGCTTACCCCGATCCATACGTCTCTGCGATTGACAGGCTCATAGCTAGCAGCTAGCAGCTAGCAAAGGCCAAGGAAGATAGAATATGCATGGGGCATTGTGAAAGCGCCTCCTATCCGCATCCAGCACTCACACGTACTGTCATTACACCTTCATCATCCGCCACGTGATGTGCTTTGGAAGCACACATCCTGTACAGCACTTCCGCCAAGCCCGAAGCCTCAAATGATCTCCCAAAGCCCCGATGGGGGATGCCTCGGAAACATGGTTGCCAGATGACGAGGCTGCAACTGTTGACCATCGTTTCTCGTCTTGAGCCTTGCAGCGAGGAGTTCCACCTCGAGGAGGGCCCGGAGGGGAGCGCCTCCTGGATCGCCTTCCTGCGGGACGATGCCCCTCGCTTTTCGCTTCTCCACCTCCCTTTGCTGTAGACTTGGATTCCTGGTGTGTTTTGGGAGAAAGGTCAAAGTCCAATGCGCCGTTTGGCTGTGCGCATCTGCGGCGGCGGCAAGGCGCTCGAAGCTTGGGAGACTTGCTGTGACGTCAGACGATCTCAAGCCTCATGCATTGAATTTGGGTCAACGGACTATATGTGCAGTTCTATGTGTTCTAAGCACAGCAGCACTCCTTAGGTTTTCTTCGAGGCATGCCTGGCCTGGCACATCCACTCGAGTGGTCACTGAATGTTGCCTTCCAGATTTTCGCCCCGGCACGATGCAATCGTTTGGAATTTGACGCTGGAACCCAGCCGAAGTCTCCAGTACCACGCTGCCCTCTAGACTCTAGATTTCTACTTCAGACCACTTTGAGTAAGAACCGAGCAAGACGAACGGAGATTGTTGCAGGCACGCAGCGGCGCCTTGCTGCAGGGGTTTGCTCGAGCTGGCCTTGGGCATGTCCTCCAAAATCCCCAGCCCTTTCGGTGGCAGTTGAGAGCAGACAGTGGCAGCGATTCGGACTCATGCAGGAGTACTGAGTAGCTTTCCAAACCACCTGTCTCACGCGTCTGTTCTACTTCGGGTTGTCTTTGGGATCGAGGCTGTCGGGTTAGGATCGAGGCTGTCGGGTTTGGATGTCACTCTCCATGACAAAGAGTGCATTGTACTGTTTGTCCTTGTGAGGCGTCTTTGGCTGGGCTGTTGCCAGCTTGCTCTCGCTCGCATGGCTTCTGCTGGACCTGCAAATGGTCTTCACGTCAGAAGCTTCGAAGCAACAAAGCTTGTTGTGAGTCTCACCCGAGCGTCACCTGTCAATCTTATTGAGGAGCAGAGAGCGATGCTGTTCCCTCCCTGGAGCATCCTCGTGCAGCTCGTCTGTGGGAGCTGCGTGGACTGTGTGGGCACCGACCGACCGTGTGTCGTGTGCATTATAAGCAGAGGGTTTTGCCATTCTGCATGCGCCGAATGCTTGAGGTTTGTGAAGCAGCCGGTGGCTGTCGGGCCTCTTTGCTGCAGGGTGAACTGAAGTTGCTCCTTGCGTCGGACTGTCCATGAAGCAAGCAACTGTTTCGAAACTGCAGGCGCTCTGGCTCAAAGAAAGGTCTCAGCGTTTGTCACCAGTCCCATTTTCCAGCTGTTTGGAGGCGCTGCTTTGCAGAAGAAATGATATTGTTCAGAACTTGTCGCACAAGGATTTCGCTGATCCAAGGTCACTTGTCGAGCCATGGAGTGAGCATCAACATCAGTATTGTCGTGGGTTTAACATTCGTTGTACTTGTCAAGTGTGGTTGGAATTCTCCGCATTCTTGTCGAAACTGATTCCTTCGCTCTCCCTCGATTCGTCGGGTCTATAGCTTCATTACATTCTACTCCTGCCACATAGCTTCTCGTGATTCAACAACGAGCCTGAGGCCATGACCCAACATTTGCAGGCTGGCTGACCGGGTGTGAAGTTTTGCCACATTAAGAAGCACGTGACAAGTTGATACAAGATTCCTCGCACGTTTATCCGCAGGCACCCGAGAAGTCGACATGCCAGAAGGAGGCATCTCCTTCCAACAGGTCCACAGCCTCTTGATCGGAAATTGGAAAGGCCAGTGTAAGAAGAGATTCTCTAAGATCGGGGCACGTGAAGCCAGCGGCACTTGCCGAAGGCATCTTGAAGCATCTGCGAAGCATGGCCTTCCCCTTCCCGTAAGGCCTCTTCACCCACCAAGAAGATCAAGGAGACATCGGGGATGACGGTTGCCTTTTCTGCGGGTTTTCCGGCGACTTGTAGGGGGCGATGACAGTCTTGGCCAAGATGTTCTTCCTGAAGTGGTTGCAAAGGGCTGCTTCCTTCCGGGGGATTCACGGCGAGTGACTCGCAAGGAGAAAGCGGCAGCCATCCGGAAGAGCTTCCAACGGCCAAAGTTCTGGGTCATGGGTGGCTCGGCTTTACCAAAAAAGACGGAAACAGAGACGCAGAGACAGCGAGAGAGAGACAGGAAGAGTTTCAGATCAAGGCCGTACCAGTAGCAGTTCGAGTGAGAGCTGGCTCACGCGACGCAAGTGGCCCTACGCAGCCTGGAGTCACTCACTCTACAAGAAACAAGACTGATTGAGAAAACAAGAAGGGCGAGAGAGAGCGGGAGAGAGCGAGAGAGAGCAAGAGTGTGTGTTGTGTGTGGAAGAAGATAGCAAGAAGGATGCACCCTCACGCGCCGTATGAAGAAAATGGCTTCCCTAGCCTCAAGTCTAAGTTCACGGACAGAGCGAAAGGTGCAACCTGTATATTCAGAAGATCACGTCATTTCTCCGCTTGCCAGCCAGACACCGTTAGAAGCTCTCTTAGAGTGTTACAGCGATCCAAGGATTCGGATGGTGTCTTGACTGTACACTTTGTAGCTTGACAGCTGCCGCTCGACACTTGCTGCCACCGACTGCGCAGATTTGTGCACAAGTTTGCAGTCAAAGCTTTGGTCTGAAAACTCACAGGTGTTTGGCCGCGTGCGCTGGCGCTTCGAACGTGATTGCTTTCAAAAGTTGGTACCTTGACCAGATTACAGCATACGCGTAGCAGTTAGCAGAATGTACTGGATACCCTCACCACATGACGATCTTCCAAGTGCCTGTTGGTAAGCAAAATCGATCGCTTGTTGGGTCTTAACCATCTTGACGTGGATGGAGGCACCTCTATGCGTCTCACGTTACTGGCAGCACTTCAGCGATTGCCTTCCGAATCGAAGGTGTGCACCAAGGCGCTTGGAATCGGTACTCCGGGTCGAAGAGCCTGTGAGCCTTAGTCGTGTTTGCCCTGCAAGATGGTGTGGAGATGGAGAGCCTCCAGGAGGCGGTGGCTCTCGTAGGCTCCTTCCTGCTTGGTTCCTTTGGCCGCATCTGGAAGGCTTTTTTGGGCTTCGCATTGCTGGGCACTGTTTGGGTCGTGATTTACCTTTCTTAACTTGGGGTTGCCGGTGACATGACGGCGCAAGGTGCCTATGCCTGCGGTGTGCTCATCGACAAAAATCAAGTGGGCTCCTGCGAGCTTGCATGGAAGAGGGGGCTGTGTGAATGCACAACTCCGAGCATCTCCGAGCCAGGTGCACTTTTTGGGCAAAGCCTTTTACGGTCTGGCCCTGGTGCTGAACTCCACGCTGCTCGTCCTGGCTGCCTTCGTTCCAGGGAGGCCAAGAACCGCAACACGTGGGTCCGGGGCAGACTAGGAAAGGGTGCAGTCTCTTTGCTGGGCGGAAGATAGCTAGAAGACGGCACCCTAGTTATTCAAGATTGCACAGGAAAAGCAACACGGTGAACAGGTGTCGGGTGATGAAGCTGTGACATTTATCATCATCGCACCGCATTTGTGTTCATGTGGGACGAACACAACATAGTGCAGCACCACTTCTGGATACTGACCGACAAGCGTCAAAAGCTTGCGACCCCTGCTCAGGTTTTCACTGAGAAAGCACGGCCACTGCAGCCCCCACCAAAACACTCACAAACGCCCGTAGCACCGCTGTGAAAATTTGATGGAGTACCGGAATACCGATGCTTCGCTCGCCTATTCCCCATGGCACCGGCATGCACCGGCACTTGGCTGTGGTCTGAATCAGTCTCTCTTGAAGCTGCAAGCATCTCTGCAATCTATCATCTCAGCTGTGCCAGACTCTTCCCTGTGTGCCTGGTGGCGGCTGCATGTGGCCTACAGCAGCCTGGGAAAATTGGAGCCGGGCCGGGCAGTGCAGAGCAGTTGCAGAGCCAAAGCTGGCAGCCAAGGAATGCGATGTGCACATCGCACTTCGGAGCCATCGTGCGCACGACGCACGTGACGGGAACGGTCAGTCTCTCAAAAAGGGGCTTAGATGTCTCAAGTGCCACATGGGTACGCGCCCTTTCGCCCCATGAAAGAGCGGCTAGTAGCCGACGGAGGTTCCCGCAGCCTTATGGCCCCTTGCGGGCACCTAACGGGTCAACAGAAGGCAAGGCTCGAGCACCAGCACTCCACTGTGAGATCCGCCGCGCGTTTTGAGACTCCCCTTGCGCCCGCGCAAACGAAACTGTTGGATTCCAGAGAGGCGACAGTCTTTTGAGGCGCCCCGTGAATGTCTGGTGATCAAGATTTGTGTTGTTTTGTGATAGCCAAGAGCAACATGCCGTTGGCCTGCATGTTGGACGGTGATGCCCCAGCATCTTGAAGCTGCATGCGCTCAGTCCAACAACTGAGGTCACTGACATTGGATCCACGCTGGGCCGCATCAGCATGATTTTCTTGCGCAAGGCATCCCCTGCTGTAGCACTCCGTGCACTGTGGGAAGCTCTAGGCGCCCTAGCAGAGGGATTTGCAGTGAAGCATCAGAGGCAGAGCAATCACTGAGAAGCGTGCCCACACACTACCAGGAGTATCCATAGTCTTGCAGCCATGCTTGGAGGGGTGCCGTCGATCTGAGCTGAACGACGTGGAGAAAGCAGAAGTTGGCGTCGACGTGCCAAGCATGCATGCATTCTATTCATAAGGGAGCCCTGCCGGGTGCATGGCATAAATCCGAGGCACGCAAGCTCTTGGTCTTGTCGGGTTTGTGGACATCCTTCTTTATTGGCGGCCTCATTGGAGCTTCGCTGAGAGAGGGCCGGAGCCAGTGTCGTAGACTCGTAGACCTTCCTCTGCGTTTCACTAAGGAGTTTACGAGGAGAATATGATGCCAGGTCCGCGGGCTTTGCTCGTCCCGGCGAGCTTCACGGGAACCCTGGGCGTGTGCTACATGGCCCTCAGCACCTCGGGTGCCACAAGGTACTGGTAGAGGGAGTTTTTACCGCACCGTTTTCAGGGATCTGACCTTCCACTCTTTCTAAGGAAAGACGCTGAAGCAGTACATCCAAAAGATGGAAAAGGAGCGCTTCGACTCGGATCTCAAAGAAGTTCAGGCACGGGAGCGGGATGTTGTGGAAGAGCACTCGTAAATTGCAACAGCTATGCACTTGCACGGTCCGACAGGAAGCGATCCACCACATGGAATCCAGGCTTCATAGTATCGACACCGAAAACAACGAGAGCCTGGTGGTGGAGCTGGATGAGGACCGACATTGATGTAGAAGAATCTCCGCAAGTCGGGTACGGATGTTTTGACACACAGGAGATGGGCCACATGATCGAGGCGCTCCATGAGGTGGAAGCCGACTTTGAGAATCTGTCAGCGGCCACAGGTATGCGCGAGCCAGATTCCGGTCCAAGTCAAAGTGCACCTTGATTTTTCTCAGGCTTCGATCAAACAGCCAGCTGTCAGTGGGCCAGAACAGCCACGGCGGTTCGCACCTGAGTCTGCTGTGTGCGTCGGACGGAGCCAGGGCTAGCTTTCCCGCGGAATCGCCGGAACTTTACTGTGAAAAAGCGGCTGCACAGGAAGCAAGCCCCATATGGAGGTGTGACCGCGCGGGCTGGAGCTGTCGTTCTTTCCACCCGTCCGTGGCGGCTTAGCCACGGGTTGGAGGAAGCTGGAAGAGTCGGAAGAATTCTACAATGCTGCAGGATGAAGGCTTTGACGATCGGCTATGGAGCAATCGGAACTGCCTCCAGCATCTTCTTGCCAAGAGATTTTCCTTCCGTTCCCTTACGCCTTTAGTTAAAGCTAGGGCAAGGGATGCGGAGGTCTTGTTGCAAGTGGTGGAAGGCAAAGCCCAGGGCAATCCATAGTGTGCAACACATGTGTGCTCGCTTGTTGCAGGTCACATACAGCTGAAGGTTCCAAACGGTAGTGTGTTTGGGAGAAGACTGGCCTGTGCCTGGCATGCAAATGTCCTTGCCTAGCGCCTTTGCAAGCCAGCCTCTCAGCACGGGCTTTCAAGCTGCCTGAGTGAGTCAACAGACTCTTTTTTGGGGCATGGTGGGACACAAGATGCCCACGAATCGATCCACCAGGCTGTCACCCCACCATGGCAGAGCGAACTGCTAGTTCTTTGACGCATGGTCTGACCTTGCAACGTGGGCTCTGGTGACTCGATTTTTTTGGTTGTTCTCTTGGCTGCAAAGACATGCTCGTGTGCCTGTTGCCAAGTAATTCGTGCAACTCGGGCTCGTTGCTCTTCATCGGAAAAGATTGAGCACGGATAGGGGAGTGAGGAGCGGGACGCTGTGACCAGTTCGTTTCCGCTCCTCCCTTCATCCCTTTCGTGCCAGTCTCCATGTAGACCTCAAGCTCCGAGCCGGAAGGCTCATACCCCAAGGACCCCGAATCTGACACCGCAACCGATTCATGGGACTACATACTACATCAACTGTGTCAGAACTCGCGGTCCCCGAATCCACGAACCTGCGCCCTGAAACCAACCGACATGCATCAGAGTCATCGCATCGCTTCGGTTATCACATGTCGGGCGGCCTTTGGGCTTGCATGGATCCTTGACCTTGGCAAGGGAGGAGCAGTTGGCTTCATGTCATTGTCCCCAGACTTGCAAACCGATCACGCCATCCTGTGGCAACTTTTGGTGGACAGCTCGTCGTTGAAAGGCTGCCTGAATTTTTGGACAGAGGCCTCAAGTGCCGCCAAGAGGAGAGCTAGCAGCGATGGGCAATGGGCGGCGGATCAACCTTTGTAGTGCTGGTTGAAATAAAATTCATACCTCTGTGTATCAGTGGCATAATCTGCGGTCCAGAGCTGATCGCTTGCTCTCACTTGGCCGAATGCTTGTCGAGCAGAGCTCGTTTGAACTATCCGGGTGCTGTTGTGCAGCGAGGCCTGTGCACCGAATTCTCCAGCACCTGGTGATCTTCCCCTTCTGGGACCGCACACATCCGCCCAATGGGGTCAGAGGTCGCACGATCTCGTGATGGTGGTCCATAGCGCAAGACAACATCAATCAATCAACAACTGCTTGGTGAAGCATGGGAGATCGTCGGCGCTTTCGACCTCACAGGCTTCGCAATGTCACAGTGTGGGCCTTGTACTAAATGTTTTGTCCGCCCGTGCAACTGATTCCAGGAAGCGTTCCCTGGCCAGTGCCAATCGGAAATGTGTTTACTCTGATCGACCAGCGGCACAAGATTACTCGACATGATCGCCTGCCGACAAAAGAGCTTGCCCCGGTGAATATCATCTCACCTGCCAGTCTTGCAACACTGTCAGCGAATGAGGTCAGTTGTGATTTTCTTGGGCTACGATGGCCGAAGCTATGTGCGACGTGTTCAGGCAGGGCTTAGGGTTAGGTTACATTGTGAATGGGTAGTGGTGGGATGGGGTTGGGCTGCGACGGTGACCGCGCGAGGCGGTGCGACGGAACGAGTAATTCGGGTCCAGAGATGCATACAGAGACCTGCCACATCAGGAGCAGTGTCGCTCAGGCTAGATGTTTAGATAGAGACAGGTGCCGCTTGCTTCAGTGCTGTTCGGGCTAGGCCTGGTAGAGAAGCTCAGAAGCTCCACTAGAATCGTGTCCAGGCCATCGATGAGACTGTCGCTCCCAGCAGGCTTCAGACCGCCATCTGGCTGCATGTGGCGACAGCGCCTTCCACTTCGTGTTTGCAGCTTGAGGTCGGAGACCTCGCTGGCGCGCCCAGCGACAAGCCCCTCTACAGTGCCGATGGGAGTGCAGACTGGCTGGAGGCTGGCGGCTGGGCATTGCGAAGCAGCCAGCCTCGGCCTAGCACCTGAGCACATGAGGCCCAGGCGATCAAGGGCACGTGCGCAGCCGAAGCAACCGTGACTGAGCGCTGCATCTCTACCAATGTGAAGAGCCATGCTAAGGCTCCTTGCAGGACCATTCCCGATCTCGAGCGTCCTGTCGCTTTGATAGTTTGGTAGCAGAGCTGCGACTTGATTCGTTTGTTTGCACCCCTTCCAAACCTGCATGTGGTAAGGTCTGTGGCATTCGTCCTGACAGTTCTCAGCCCTCCCATGGCTTTCGCGTTCTTCGTGGATGCCTAAGTCTCGCTCGAAGAAAGCGCAAGCAACTGAGGAGGTTGATGAGGTTGCTTTATTGCCTGGTCAGTGAACCGAGGTCACCAGCCAGCCCTTGGTAACGCTCTGGTTCCTGCCTCCTGGCATGTCCCGGCTTTCTGGATGTGATGACTTCGCCAGAAATTAAGCTTCGCTAGATTGGCCGCCAAGGTTGCTTGCCAGCATCGGCATGAGCTTCCTGTTTGGTGCGCTGTCATGAGGGCATTCGTGCTGAGTGCCTTTGACAAAGCTCTACAGCCCTGGTTTTCGTTTGGAGCTGGTGGCATCCGTGATCTGGTTTCGGAGTGTTTGGCAAGCCTCTCAGACGCCGTTCCAAAGACAATGAAGGCAAGGAGATGCTGACTGTGCAGGGTATTCGCATGCAGCCAACAAGATCTATTGAGTAATGGTCCCGACAAGCGAAAAAAACAAGGCTTGTGTACCCTGTTATTATCTGCAGTTTCACCACTGGGAGTTGTTTGCCTTTCCTGCGCTCCGGCTGATCCAAAGAGCGCTGGAGAACTGCTGATGATGTTCCAAAGGAGGAATCTCTGACTCGCGGGCTGCATCCACGAGCGTCCGCTCACTTCAAGTTGCTGACTGCACTGGATGAGGTCAGCTTCATGCACGATTCCCTGGGTCTTCACCAGATAGAGAATCCCAGCGAGAGCGATGCATGGGGCTCGATGGCCTATGTTCGACAGCTTTGCCCACTCAACAGTGCGCAGAACCTGCTGCCGTGTCTTGTAGCTGTCAGACAAAAGGCCTTGTGCATAGGAGATTGTGTGTGACCTGTGCAATCGTGATGTTGAAACCAGCTTGCGGAGGTGGCAGTCTCTCTGCATGTGTACTCGCCACCCTTCCAGGCAAGGCTCCGAAGCCCAAGGGACTCTGCGTAAGCTCATGGCTTTGGCCCTGCTACTTACAACTACAACCGCTTGGCCAGCGGAACTCTGCAGACTTCTGCTTCAGGAGTGCCGTATATTCCCTCCCACTGGTGCGCCGCCAAAGTCAAAGCCTCAAAAGCTCTCCTTCGATACTCCTGCAAGCTGATATCGGCTTAGCCTTCACGCTTGAGGACAGCACCAATGGTCAGCGTCTTCGTTCCTGAGGGATTGCAGAAGGCAGGGAGGGCTTCAAATTGGCTCGGGTAGAGTTTTTCGCCCGCGCGGTAGATCTGGGCGGTTCGCCCTCGCTTAGGCCGCTGAGGAATCCAAGAGTCTCAGCCTGCCTTACGCCTCAGAGTTAGCCCGAATGCCGGCCTCCAGCCATTCAACTGGCAGATGATGCATTGATCGCCACTTCCGCTCTGAATTTAAGGCAAGACTTCTGCAGCAAGCTCAGTGACCTCCGAGCCGAGGCACGGGCCGGGGCCGCACCAGGAGAGACATTGCGGGCCTTTTTGCTTCTTGCGCGCGCTAGGAGGGCGATGGCAAAACTCATCTGCATCCCGTGCTGGATCTGCTGGTGTCTGCAGAGATGACGGACATGGAATGGGCCGGCGGCTCAAGTCGAGGTAAAGGCTTCGGCTCCTGAAAAGGGTTGTTTATGCTGAGCTTAGAGTCCTCTCCCAGGCTTCCTACGCAAGTCCCATGCACTTCAGCGAGCAGGGCAGCTCGGAGTTCTCTGTGAGTCCAGCTTGAACTCGAAAGAACTGCATCCCCCTGCTGGACCCATTACGCACCTCTCAAAAATGACTGCAAATCACAAGGTCTGACTTCTGAGTCGTCTCAGTGGAAGTGTTGGCACTGGTGCTCTCGAACTGCGCCACTGCTTAAGGTTTCAACCCGTCCAGCACATCATCCACTGCAAAAGCCCTCAGTTCGTTCCAGATGCAGCAAAACATATCGATGCTGAGAGTTGCTTCCGTGCTTCGGCACCAAAGCTGAATTGGAAAGCATGCACGTCCGGTGTCTAGAAGGTGACGATGAGTTTTCCGTTGTCATTTCCTGCTGGAGCCTGGACCTCATTCGGGCACTCTGCGAGCTGGTGGCAGCCCCGGTCAGTCGCATCTCGAGGCCCCGGCCAGAAGATCCCTCCGCACACTGTGGGGCGAGGCGGGGTCCAGTTTCTCATGTCGTGCTGTCTTTCTTTGAGAACCACTGCGCAGGGCGTGTGATGTGGCTGAAAGCTCGGGAGCCAAGAGCGAGCTGTTTCCATGCAGATGATGTAGGGCAGAGACATTGTCTTGAAGTGAGCGGGACAGGTCCTTCATGGGAATCTCCTCTTTCAGGAGAGGGCTGAGTTGGGACACAGGTGTGTGATGGTGTGTGGTGACCCTGGTGAGGAGTACTCCCCTGGCCTCTTCCCGTGGGAAAGTGATGTGGGAGTCTTAGCAACGTTCAGCGCCTTGGCGCTTCGCAGCCCAGAGCGCAAGCAGATTCGAGCGGCCGCTGAGGTCGAGCGCCAAACGGAGCTCGGCGAGGGCTCCGCCAGCTTTCTGGAGGCGTTCGCTCTTGACAGAAACTGCATCGCCTCCGAACTCGCCCTACCGTCGTAACATACTATCGTGGATGACGCGACAAGACAGAGCAGGCAAGCATTCGGGAAGCGTCCGGGGCTGCTGTGTCTTGCTACTACAAGCAAAGCAAACCAAGATCTCAGCATCCTACATCGCAGGGGAAAGCTCGCAAAACGGGCGAGTCAGACTTGCGTTGTTTCCTTTGTTATCCTTGTCCCACCAGTGTCCCGGCACTCCATCTCATGCATAACTGGTCTTTGCTACAGTATGGCCTGCTCTGCAGGAGTGTGGTGCCCGATCCTCAGATCCTGATAGCAGCTTGTGAGGTTTGGACTGCATACCTGGCCTTGCTCAGCCTGCCTTGCACGAAGGTGCGCATGCACGATGTCAAGAATCTCAGCGAGACTGAGCCAGCAGTTTCGGTGGGGATCCAAGCGATGCAGCATGCCGAAGGCAAGCGACATTGCAGTCCATTGTGCCAAGATTCAAGTTTTCTCTCCTCCTCTCACGTCGCCCGGACCTCAACATAGGGCTTGTTTCAGCAAATTGGAAGGGCCAAGGGCCATCCAAGTTTGCAAGCCTGTTCGTGTAGAAGCACTTGGTTGCACTCAGGCTGTTCTTGGGTTGCCTTGGTTGCACCGTCTGACTCGTGCATCCGAGGTTTACTTTTCATTCGGAGAAGGGCACGGAGAGACGCGACCTTCCCTGGCTCGTTGGGCAGGCACCGGGAGCGGGCGGCGGGCAGTGTTCTGCTAGAAGCTGCCGGCCTGCCCTGGCAGGCAGATGCCACAAAAGGATCGGAAGCATTCTCCAGCTCGTCTCCCACTTGGCACCAAATATCTGAAGCAGTGGGTGTCAGGACAAGGGAGGTTGCGCCGACATAATCGGTAACCATCCTTGAAACTGTACCACCTGTTATGCCTGTACATCCCCACGCATATTCAAGCTGGCAGCCCTCGCACTGATGCCGGGGCAGGCGATGGGGGCAGGGGCAAGGGAGGGTGATAGCTGGACAGCAGCTTCCAGGGAGCTGCGCACTTGTTCGCCGCTGCCTGGCCGTGCATCAGAATGTTCGAGCCCCGACTCTACACATGAGGTTGAATGTATCGTCAATGAAGCGTGGCGCAAACGGGTTGGCATATCCGCTTGTATGATTCCACGTGCTTTGTGGATGAATCAGTCGCTGAAAATGGTAGCCGCGGTTCCAAAGAGACCTTGCTAACTTCAGACGCTGGTGGTGCCAATTTGCAAGTGCTCAAGAAGATATGCCGAGGAGAGTCACAGGTGCGAGGTGTAAAGTCTGACTGAGGTCAATGAAAACTTTGTAAACCCAAGCAGCAGACGTTTGTTCTTCCGGGCGGCCAGGCCGGTCTCCGATCACAGGAAGACTTGTGGAAAACGGATCCGCCCGCGCACGGGGTAGTAGTACTTGTCAAGAGGGTCGTAAGTCGTTTTCAATACTGCACCTAAGCCATGTTTCCGTTTCCTAGTTTGGTTCGCTCTGTGTGTCTTCAACCCGTGGTGAACAAACAGGGGAGGAGGCCTGCCCTTTCCCAAGTACCTTTTCGAACTCATCGCAGAGAGCATTTTCGTGTCATGTGTGTTTCGGATTTTGGGAAAGATGAGAGCCCATCACCACGAATGGGGTGCGCGGGGCTGCCTAGGGGTCAGGGGTAGCGGTTGCTTTTCAAAGTGTCCTCACCTGAGGTTCAAGTTGGACTTGACATGGTCCTGCCTGATTTTGCTTGCATCGAGGGGACGGCCTTCCCGATAGGTTGAAGTGCCAGACCATATAGGACATTCTGTGACATCTTCGTTGATGAGGTCTTGAAAGCAATGGCAGCCATCATGCTGGCGCAGTTTCAGAATTGTGGTACCTGTAGAACTGGAACTGCTGAGGCGAGCCGTTCGCACTGCGGGACGATGGTACGCCGGACTGGCCTTGTCAAGAGTTGTGCGAGCATGGAATGATAATACTGGCCCCAGGACCACATCAGTGTCGATGTTTCTTCCTCCGGTTCAGCTGTCCTTCAGGTTCTTGTCCTTCCGGGGGCTGCAGAGCCTGTGGCATCCTGAGCTGGACGTGTTGTGGATAGATACTGATGGGGCTGGCTGACGAGTGATCAGTGTGTCTCGCATTCCGAGTCTGAATGAAGAGTTCTCTCGCCCGGAAGTCGCGCCAAGTGTCATCTCGACTCTGCTCTCCAAGGCCGGAGAGGAATAGGCTCTTCAGAGCGCCGTATTGATTCCCTCGGACTGCAGGCGGTTTTCAACCCGCAAGAGTGGCGAGATCGGCTGTCCCTCACTGCCACACGTACGCACTGGATCGAGAGCTCGTACCAAACAGCGTTTCCACGCCGCAGTAGGCCAGGACTTTTTTGCGGCACCCGCTCAGTGAGGTGAAACAAGCTTCTGGGTCCCACATGTCGCCAAGCGGCCAGACCGGCCACCCACTGCACATCCAAGGCTATGCCAGGCGGGTCATCCCAAGCAGGCAGTGCCTGGCCAAAGTGCAGCGCTCGGAAGAAAACGTGCAGCTCCTGGATTTCACTCGTTAACTCCCGTCTTGCGGCCGTACCGAGGCATATCCTAGTCGCGCAGGAGAAGAAGTACAGCGTTGCTCGCTGAGCCTTTTTTTGTGCACAGCATCCGACGGTCCGGCCCTGCCTTTTGTGCAGAATCTGACCAGCCAGTATCGTAATCAGGAAGTCATGTAGACTCCAAGCCACCCTGCCGCTTGCCAAGATCATCCTCTCGTTTTGGGGGAACAGCCCAGAGCGCCTTGGGCCTTGACCAAAGCCACAGAAGTCTGTCGAAGGTGGGTCAATAGCTAACGAGTTTCGGCACGAATAGCCGGGTTTTCACGGGGTCTTAATCTGCACCCCATCCGCCAAGTTATGCAGAGTGGGTTCTTGGACCTGTTTTCGAAGGATGAATAGGCAGAAGTGTGAGAAAGAGATGGCTATTGAAGCTCCAGTTTCAGTTTCGGACCACTTCCATCTGCAGCAGCTTCATTGGAATTGTGTTGGGCGGTGACAGCGTCGACGGGTCTTCCCGACTCTGCCCGAAGATTCGAAAAGCGTCGCACAGCTGCGAGTGCCCAGGCGCTCCGTTGCCATTGAGGGTGGCACCGGCATGAGCTGGACGCAGTGGCCCCAGATGACATGTGCCTCAGTCGTTGCGAAGCCGTAAGATGCTACCAGGCTCGTTCTCGAAGGCGAACTGGAGGAGCGAGCAGTGAACATAGGCCTGGCTGCTTTGAGCGCGTGTTGGTGTTCGAGTCTTTGGGATTGAGAGATTTTCTCTGGTGTTGCTGCACTCACTGAGCCCAGAGATGACATGGAGAGAGCGAGAGAGAGAGTGAGAGTGAGTGAGTGCAGAGGGGGAAACCCTTCTGCCCCTAGCCCTGCCGAAAGAAAAGTGAGTGAGTGAGAGACACGGTCGGTGCGCCTTTACGCAGGGACAGGCTCCCTCAGGCCTGGTGCACAAGGAGAGACTTCACAAGAGTAGTAGTGCACTTCTTCAAGCTTTCGTAGACGAGCGCCTTGAGCGACTACTCATCCGTCAGAAGGGCTGCCAGGTACTGAACAGTTCGCCACGTCAACATGCTGTGTAACTCCCCTCAGAAAGGCTGTCTCGGTGTGTGTGGTTTTGGCTGTGATGGCTCGGCTTCTGCGCAGCTTGAGCTGCAAGGACAAATCATTGATCACCGTTTCGTCGTCGCACCGTTGGACCTGCCGTCTAAGCGTGTGCACGGAGTGTCCGTCGAGTTGATGTAAAGTCCGGTGTCGGGAGTTGTATGCAACCGCGGCAGTCGATCGGGAAGGCTTTTCAGGGTTTGCGGGGCTGATGAACTGTGTTGGTTGCCTTCGGCGGTGCCTGTTCCGCTATTGACCCGTCCCGTCGCCCAGAGTCTGCAGCAATTGAGTTTCTAGGCTTGCCAGATCATCCCTCTGTCCGCTGCATCAGGTGCGGAAGGGCCGCAAGTCGTTCGATCCAGTGTGCTCAAGGAGGCATGACGCCGAGCTGCAACTGTGCTCTTCTTTCCAGTACTTCATTAGTTTATGGCGAGGCTAAGCAAGAGAAATGCAGATGTGGTTCATGTGGCAGGAAAGCTGCTCATTTCTGAGCCGGGAAGAGACTTCAGGTGCCGCCGGTGCTGACATCATTGAGCAGCTTGGTCCAATCTTGTTCTGCGTGAATACCTTTCAAGTTTTCCTGTGCCGTACCTGCCACCTGGAGGCACAGCCACTCCTCCGAGACGCTTGCGCCTGAGAGGACGTCGTCATCCACGCCTGTGGCGTCTCTGCTCTTTCTTAGGCCTTGCGTCTCGCTGCACGTCTACCATCCTCCGCTGCCGGAGGCAGGGAGCGAGAAGAAAGGTCGCCCGGATAGCCGTTTTTGCTGTCGTTGTGGAGTTCCGCAGGCATGGATGACGGGATGAGTATCCGTGCTTGCCTAAGCCGGTTTACTCGTAGCTGGGTTCTGACAAAGATCGGGGTTATGCAGCGATGCTGCATGCGCCAACGCGCGGACACGGCATTGGCATCGGCCTCGGCCCTTTCGGGTGCCTGGAGACCATGGAGGCCTCGAGGCGTAGCGTTTTCCAGTCCGCCAGCGCCTTCCGCCGACTCTTCCCGCTAGCGACCGCGACCAGGGTTGTTTGAGCTCACCAATTCTGTCAGCAGCGCCATCTTCAGTTCTCGTGTGATCGGGCGCCCGTGCTCCGTCTGAGTGAAGCCATCGCTTTGTCACGAAGTAGGATCTGAGCGCAGCTTGTCCAGTTAATCCGCGCTTCTAGATTCGAGACGATTCTAGACATTAAAGACATGACATAGCCACAAGCAAGCGTATGAATTATGCAAGTCACGCTTCATACACCAGTGTGGTCAAGTCACTTGCAAGATGGAGCGCGTACAGTTGAGTGTTGGGAGGGCGCGAAATGATTCAGAGAATTTGGTTAAGCTTTCCCTTCGCCTCCTTGCAGTAGGTTGGTTTGAACGAAAGTTTCGTACTTGTGTGCCTCATGTTGTTCTCACCTTCACCTGATTGCATGCTGCAGCATTCCTCGCCTCATCATCGTCATCATCATCACCGTCATCGTCGTCGTCATCATCATCATCATCGTCTTCATCTTCATCTTCATCTCCATCTCCATCTTCAGCATCAGCATCAGCATCAGCATCAGCATCAGCATCATCAAAATATCATCATCACCGTCATCATTGTCATCATCATTTGTTGGTTCTTCCAGATCAGATCAACGTGATGATCAACTTGGATGCGTGTTTGTCTGTGCACCACATCAAATTGCAATGCACGCAAATAACAGACCCGGAAGAGATGTCTCTTGAGTTCCCAGTTGCTGTCCGATGGCATTTGGCTATAATATGGGGCTAAGCCTCAAGCCCCGCATGTAGGCTTTCTAGTCTCAGATCATCAGCGGCCTGAGGGGATATTCGAGTTTGTGCGCGCATGTGTGTGTGTGTGCGTGTGTAATCGTGTGTAAGTCGTGCCTAGACGCCTGAACGTGGTGTTTGTCTGCAGGGGGATGCCCCACACCTGAAGAGTGGGCATCTAACAAAGAGCCTATTTAGTAGAGTATGCTGATATGGTACCGGGATGTTGGAGCCACGCACCTGCTGAGATGGCCAGCCCAAAACACCCTCACGCGGCTGTTGTTTCATATTGGCCAAGGGGCCCTTGCATGGTTGCCTGAATCTGTCGTTTTCTGTGCTGTCACATCTTCTTCGCTGTGTGTGTGTGTGTGTTTGTGTGTGTGCCTGTGTGTTTTTGCGCCCACTTGATCTTCATGCAAGGTTTCGTGCTTCGCCCTGAAGGTCCCCAGATCTGAGATCCGGGCGTGTGTGTCTGGCGACGCTTCAGCTTCAGGGCATGCGCTGGACGGCAGCGACGGCGGTTGCGCGTGTCACCATGTTACGTCCATGGGACCTTCAGCCACACGGTGCATTATTTGGCTCTTCTCGAGCTATGCCTTTAAAGTCCGTGTATGATTGCGCTGACAGGTCAGACTCTTTCAACTCAAGTAACTTTTTCTAAGTGAAGAGGAACGATGCTTGGCTCCTCCTACCTTTTGACATCCTGCTGGCAACTTTACGTTAGCCCACTTCCTCTTCAACAATCGTTTCGGTAGACCCTGCCGTGGCTACATCCCATACGCGCAAACTTGCAAACTTGGAGTGGCCGTGGCAGTGTGATAAAATTGAATTTGACTCGCAGAAGATCGAGCCGCCTCGAGAGCAGGCAAAACGAAGCTGCTCTGGATATCGGTCATTTGCCGCAAGAGAGGCTGCAGATGGTTCTGTGCATGATGAAGTTGCTAACTGGTAGAGCAAGAGGTGCTGAGGCATGTCGGCCTAGTGGCCCTTGGTTTGCATCCGTAGCCACAAGCTTCAATGGTTACCGAGTCTAGCAGTGTGTCGAGCCACATCTTGCAATGGGCCTGGAGATCAATCTGCAAGAGTGCATGCACAAGGGGTTGGTGGGTGCAATTGGCGCCATACCGGGGACAGTGTGTGCGCACCCCTTCGATGTCGTGAAGATCCGCATGCAGACCAGTGGGACGTCTGACCCATTCCGTGGAGGAGTCCGGAAAGCTATCAATGCAGTCGCAGCTGGCGGGGAACGACCGGGGACGCCTGGTGCCTTTCAAGCTTCTCAATTCTTCCGCGGCCTGGCACCAGCGATGCAGCAGAAGGTCATTACGAGAGCTCCAATGTTTTTGCTAGCCGAGCTCTGCACTCAAACCGTTCAAATTGCTGGCCTCTCGCGCACTCAGGCCTGCTTCGTTGGATGCTTCTGCTCGGGCTTCATAACGGGCTCAGCTGCAGCTCTGCCTGAGTATCGGAAAGTTCTTCAAAGTCAGCGAGTTCGTGCGCAGGGGACTTCGACCGTTCTAGCGGTGATGAGGTCAGCTGTTGCCAGCGGCCAAACAGGATCAATACTAATACGGATGAGGTCAGCAGGCCTCCGTAACGCCATCTTCGACTCCATCTTCTTTGGTGCCCAACACATGCTGAGTTCACATTTGTCCAGTGGACCAAGCTACGCATGTGCTGCCGCTCTTGCCGTAACCTTAGATTACTCGGTAGACGTCGTCGTGAAGCGTATGATGGTTGTTCCACCACAGCAGGCTCTACGTCCGTTGATGCAGAGTTGGCTGCAGTTGTTTCGTGGACATGCGAGTGCATGTCATGCCTGTGCTTCCATCCATGCAGGTTTGAGTGCCAAAGCCGTAGAGTTCTCTGTCAGTTATTTCATTACAGGAACTGTTGGGGTGAGTGTTGCTGCATCCCTTCAGCAGCTCTACGTGCTCGCCCAGGAACGGAAAACCGCCGAAGCTCTGCAACATAGCTCCGACATACTAAAAATGCTTCTTGTTTCTTTATCTCAGAGTGCATCAAGGGCAGCCCCGCAGCAGTTCTTACGATCGACGGCCGCCATGGTGTAGTGTGACTCTCCTTGTGCAGGAGTAACGTCGTGGGCAGCCGTTTGGCAATGCTCACCCCGAGAAGAAAATCGCAAGTGTTTTTCCATTTTCCACGGAACAGTTCGCTGCACACCACAAGCATTCACACCTCGTCGGAGCGCAGCTGAACAGGAAGTGGGATATGTTAAGACAGAAAGGGAACTTCCCGTGGCTGCGTCAAAAGCCATGTCGTATGCCATCGGTGGGGCGACCTCCCGTGCCGAGGTGCGTCAAGCGACACATGTTTTAGGGAACCATTGGCTTTGCTTGAGGGCCAGTTGCTCGAAAGACAGCATATACTGAGATTGCCGGATTCAGGAAAGTTCCCGAGCGCAGTTGGTGTCGACGAACTGAGGTGTTGCCTCATGCCGTGCGTGGCCTGGCTTGAAGGGTTCTTGTGCGTAGTGCGTGGAAGACACACGGCCACCTGACTTTGAGCTTTTTGAGTCTTCGAAGCCGAAGAACGAGTAGGATCAGATTTTTATTCTGGGGCACTCCTGGACACTGAGCCATACTTGCAACTTTCTTAGCAACTTCCAGGGGCGGTCCGCGTGCCGCGGTTTCCACCACCCCTGCAGTCTGCGGAGAAGCGGACTCGTCTGCGCAGGAGATGGAAGATGGCATGTAGATTCTGTGTCACACATCCAGAAGACAATGGCCAGAGATACGCGCACGAGCTGCAGCCAGTCTATGTCAGTACCCGGTGTCATGGAGGAGCTGGCGGAACACATCACGCTCGGAGATGTCCCGGTCTCTAGCGACGGCCGTGTGCCTGACGGCCGGGGGATTCTTGTGCAAAATTGAGTTCCCGAAGACTCGCTGAAACAATCTTGCTTATGAGCTGGATTGCGTGAGTAGCAGCTTTACCGTACAGCGTCTGCAGAATCCGAAAGCCAATGCATGGCCCTTACAGCGTAATATGTCAAGGCAACAGGCTCTGCTAATATGGCCCCTCGCAGATGAACTCATACCGGTAACAGTGAGAGCTTGACAAAGCAAGCCCCTCCTGCGGCCACGCAGATGCACCTCACAGCAGGGAGGTATCGCTGTCTTCGGAACTTCGTCGGGTAGGGATACACCATTAGACCTGTTCAGTTCAGTCTTTCAGCTTGGAAGGGTGAGACTTGTGGCCATATGCGACAAGAATATTTTGGATTGCTCACAAATTGAGCTGGTCAGGGCCGAAACAGGGTTCAGGTTTTCGGTGAATTGACGGTTCAGTCGACTTCATGACCCGAAACCTGAACCAATTCGTGGTCCAGGCGGCGGGCGGCCGCAGGCTGAACCGCCACACACTCAAGGCGGGAGTTTCAGGGTCAAAGTAGGTGGTCGGCTGGCTTCTCGGGTTGACCCGGTGCCGGAGTGCAAGCGAAGCTTAGCACCGAGGTTGTTTCGCGTCTAAAAGCAAGACCTAGTCTGATCTTCAGTTCGAGAGGGATGTTGTCAGAAGATGGGCCGGCAACTCCTGAGGCGACGGGAAGTGCTGGTGGCTCCACGCCTCTTTCCCTTGGCACGGCCAAAGCCAAGGCGAAGGTGCAAGCACCTGCGAAGGAGGAAGAGGCATTCGGATTCCGAATTCCCTCATTGCGAGAAGTGTATTGGGGGCTTGCAAGGATTCAGGAAGCTGGGTCCTTCCAAGCGTGGACAAGGACCGCCGGACTCCTTGTTTCGATTGATTGAGAAAATGGATCTTCGATGACAAAAAGATGGGCCCAGCTTTCTTGCGACTTTTTTTGATTCCTTGGTGTCCTCGATTACCTGTGGTGTTTAGTTTGTCTTTCGATTTCGCACGGCGGCGCCGAGCCTAGTGGGCAGGGGTAGGCTCAAGACCGCGAGGACATCTCAGAGTACTACACTGGTCGGGCTCCTTGCTATGCATGGGTCGCAAGCTTATGTCTTGAACAAAAAGGGCACCAGTGCTATCAGTGCTGCAAATTCGCTTGCCCAGCTCTTACTGTGCATACGCCAGGTTCAGACCAGTGAAACGCTTTATCTCTTCACTCCTCTTCGGAATCCTCAGGTGCACCGTCAAGATGTTGGTGTGCTGCATTCAGACGCGGTAGCCGTTTCGCACGTGCAGATCCATGCTGGCAGATGCAGGAGGCAACTACCGATGAGGAGAAAGAGCCAGCCAATGCTCCACACCCAGCCATTGCCAGCCATCCTCGTAGCTGGTAGCTCTGCCCTCCAGTCGCGAGACGTCAGACGCTGCGCGAGGTGCAACTGGACCTGACAAACGAAGGAAAGACCCTCAGGCCCAGTGGGGCCTAGTGATCGACTTCCATCGGTGTTTGGCACGTAGACCTCCAGTCTGCATCATGTGGCATCAGATCACTCGACCCCGGCACGAAGCGCAGGCTTATGGTGGAGGGGAATGCGATCTTGGACGGGAGTCTGGCCCATGCGATCAAGCCGGGAGATGAAATCTGGATGATTGAGGCGGTGCCCGCACTGGATTTTTTTAGTAGAGGTTTTCTGATCCGAAGCTAGGAAGCGCCCGACGGCCGGGACTTCGTGGTGGTCGAACTCGACAAGCTGTTCCCCGGCTCAGCTTCCACGGGCCGAATGGTCGACGGTTGTCGTGTCTTGTCGACTCCACTTGATACTTGTGCTCGTTCGATGCAAAGAGCCATTCTGCTTTCTCTCAGGGTTCCGGGCATCAATTGGTCTTCCGTCCTGGAGCCGCAGGCCAGGGCAGGGGATCCACAGCGAAGCCAAAGAGACTCCTCTGAGCCGAGCTCGGCCTCACGTCTGCGCTGACGGAAAGAGCTCTTGTGAAGTGTCCTCCGTCATGAAGGTAGACGTCCTGGGGCCGTACTCGCATCCAGTTGTGAAGATGCCGGACATCCTGACAGAAGAGGAGGACTGCAAAGCGCATGTGCCATCTGTCCCTCTGAGTCTCACTGTCCCTCTTTGTCTCTCCCTCCCTCCTTGCTTCCATGTGCACACACACACACACGCACACGCACACGCACACACGCACATGGGCATGCAAGAACACTCTGGGCCGAGATATTGCGGACGATTATGGGGATCTGGGGGTTCGGTCCGCATCCGCCTCTTGTGCTCAATCGTTTCGGTCTCACGGTTCGGTTGGCCTCGACATGGAGCGCTCAGGAGAGTCTCGTTGCCGAGACCTTGCAGCACCTGCGGCGGACGAAGAGAACACTTCAGCCGGTGGAAGGCCTGACCTGGAGCGGCTCGCAACTGTCGGGATGATGGTCCTCGCTTGCCAGAGGCCGTGCGGCCGCTCGTGGAGATGCCCGGCACTCAACTTTGATGCTGGGCTCACCTCAAGCTACGAGAGGGCGAATCATCGCAGTGGCTCAGGTTATATCCGTTGACATGCAGGGCTACGAGATGAAGGAGGCCCGAGGGGGTTCAGCCTGCTTGCATGAAGAGCAGATGAAGTGCTGGGCGGTGTCTCAGCAGTGATAAGCTGTTAATTGATCGCACATGCATGCGCTCCCGCACCTCTTCACAAGCCAATCGCCTCGACCAGACTGATCGGAAACACTCGTCTTCGTTCAGAAAGCGCTGAAGCTTCATCTACTCTGAGATTTAGCGCACTTCTCAAGCGGCTTGTGCCTCGCGAGGATGGTTCCCGGGGCAATGAGTTGGACGTCGGATCAGCTCGGATCTGTGGCCACGTCAGCGCTCTCGTCGCCTTTCCCCTCTGCCGGGCTGAGGCGAAGGGCCTGGAGCTGGAGCTGGGAGCGAGCACCTTCTCCGCCGAGGTACTGGTTTCAGCAGTGAAAGTCCGGGGGAAAAAGGGGAAAGACTGCATGCTTGCCTAATGACAGCAGCGGCTATCGTGAGTTGCATGGCAGCTGTCAGGTTCTACATGGTAGGGCATGCAAAATGCTTGAGAGGTCAGTTGCGCACCGAGACGGGACAGCAAATGACTTCTCGTTCAGGTGGAGCGGAGTCTCGAAGGCATTGCCATGGGGGAAACGCGCGACGTGCAGGTGGCAGACTCGGAGCTCTTTTTTTGGTTTCCTTGCCCCTTAATTAATTAGGCATCAGGTATCGTCAGGTCCCCCTTATTCCTCCTTCGTGCTAAACATCGAGTCCCTTTCACCTTCGACCACTTGTCGCTTCCCGTTCTGCATATGCTAGGGAGAACTTTCGGGCACCGCATTAGCATTCTACGGCTAGTTCCTGAGTATCAAGTCGTGCAAATTCCAGATGTTATGCTCTTGTGTCGACATTTCCAGCACATACTCGAGCGCAAACGACCTGCCGGTGTCAGTGCTTCATCTCTTTCTGGTGCCGCCACTGTCTCTGGCAAGGCTTCCCCGCCTCTAAGTTACGTTGGAGGTCCGTCGGAAAATAGGGCACCCGGACACTGCACCGTCAAACGCCTCTGGATTCTTGTCGAACGCAGAATCAGTGCGCAAGAAACTGTCGGCCCGGATATGCGGCGCGTGCTCAAAGGAGTTGTGGCCGTAAGACCCTGACAGCTGCGCTAGTCATTGCTGTGTTCACATACCCTAGCAGGTTACCCTCGGCCAGCGTGCAGGTGGCATGGGAGGGCCGCTGCCTCATTTATTTATGTCAGGAAGCGATAGATAGAGCATCTCGCTCTTGAGGTGATTGGGGTTGGCATGTAACGACCCTGCTGTTTCGGCATGATGATAAGGCAGCAGATAATTTGCGCCGTGACATGCCAAGGCATCCAGGACATCTCATCATGCGATTGTTTTGTTGTTTTGGGGGGGGAGGGGACGTCCTGGTGAGGAGCAGCTGCTTCCGGAGCTTAATGACGAGTTTGCCAAGGAGATCAAGCGTGAGGAGCAGTTCAAGCAGGCCTGTGGCCCCCGGCCACCGCAGAACCCGCTCGGGGGCAGCACAGACCCAGGCTGGCACCATGGAGGGCATTCCCGAAGAGGAAGAAGGCGTTGCGAAGGCTGGGACCGGACCGCCAAAGAGTAAAGGGAAAGGCTGCTTCACCTGTCCGTGACCCTTTTGATTCAGGTGTGAGATGTTCTCGACTTTATTTGTGTGCAGCGACAGTGTAGGAGAATGCAGGGCGGCATGCGTCGATTTCGTGATGCAGCGTCACAGATGGCTCGCTGGCTCTTTCTCCGGTGCTTTGCTCGTGCTCTCAGAACTTCTCGATTGCCGATCTGCGGGCAGAGATTGGGCGAGAGGCACCTTGTCTCAGAGAAGTGAGAGAATGAGGAAGATTCAGAGTTCACGAGTTCAGCGCCAAGCTTGATGTATCCATGTCTTGGTACATCTGTGTACGAGGAGGGGGGGTCACTGCTTCCTTGCCGACTTGCTGCCGCTTCGTCCTTCGATGTCTCAGGTCAGACAGGTTGCCCAGACACAGGCGCTCTCACTGGCATGCTCCGACTATCCCACATGGCAGCGTTGTCGAGATGAGCTTTTCTGCTCAGCCCTTCAACCGAAGAAATTTGCCTTGACGACCAGCTGAATCAGTCCAACGACGTTGTCGACACACAGCTGCGGGCACACCTGCGCCAAACAGTGCAGGCCCAGAAGTGTGCAGTGCACTGCGAATGCAAGTCGTAGTCCTGTGTGTGCGTTGCAGATTTCCTACAGTAGGTCCCAGGCTAGGTCACAGCAGACTTTCCCGACGGGTTAAATAGACATTGGACAGGTGTGCATTTGCATCTGGAATGCCCGAATTGAGAGCATCTCAGAGAATTGTTTGACTTCCAATGCAGATAAGCAGGTGGCATGGTTAGGTTTCGTTGGCTTTTCGTTCATCCAGCATTGTAATCGTCTCATTCATCTTGCGCCACAGTCTGGCAGAGGTCTTGGGGTCAGCCAATATCCTAAATTCTGAGTGACGCCAGGATATCTTTGAACTTTTCGGTTTGACCCGTCTTAGGTTTTGCTCCGGGTCCATAGTGCTACTGATGTACCCAGAGATGACATTCAAAACGAGTTGTTGAGACTGAACCCAGCAGAAATCATGGTCCCAGTCTCTGTCGAAGAAATTTTCGAAGCCGATACACCTGATGCAAACAGCGTCGCAGTGAACTGGTGAGTGGTTGCACGGTCTTACTGTGATTCCTCAGCCAGGTCACGTGCCACTGGGCAGACTTGGGGTCTCAGGAAGCCACTGCAGAGGAGGCTGGTTCTTCACTGGAAGTACCAGAGCAGAGGTTGCTACTCGTAGCCATCTGTCGGAACTCCGGACGAAGCGCGGGCTTCATTGAGGAGCTCGCAGTTGCAGCTCGCTTCGTCGCTGAGAAGGAGGCCCGTACTTGCCAGACCGGTTGGAGCCTCGGCCTCGTCGAGAGCGAAGCTGCCCAGGGGCTCATGCAGAAGATCGACATGGATGATGTGGAGCGGAAAACGTGGAGCAAGCAGTGGCCTTGGTGTTACATGATCTGTGCTAGTTCAGGTGCTGTGCTGCGGCCAATTTTGGCCCAGATTGTCAGCAAGCCTGAAGATTTGCCTGCAAGTCAGACTGGAAGCATCCGCGAGGTTGGGAGAGCCTGACGAGGGAGAGACCCTCAAGCAAGTTGGCAAAGATCCACCACGAGAATACCAGGAGATGCCGGAAGCCGTACCATTCTGTTGGCACAGTTGGCTTTGAAGTTACTTTTATCGACGAGGCCCAGGTTCGCTTGAACAAGCTTTCATCTTTTTGCGAGGACGCAAACCGAGAGATTCTCCGTGGCCGTATTCGGGATGAGGCCTTGGAGCGGCAGTGGATCTTTGGCAGTGTCCTCCGGCGGTGCTGAGGTTCTGTCTTGGCTCCGGTACCAGATGGAGGTCGTTGAAGCTGGAGAAAGTTAGTAGACTTACAAAGATGTCTTCCTCTTGACTTGGCACGCGCTCCCTTTGGCTTCGCCTTCTTTTGCAAGACCTCTCCAAGTTTCCGTGCTTCATGAGTGCCGCCTGTTTCACCCGATGCTGCTCATGGCTGCGCAGCCTGGCAGACTTCAGAGGCAGCCTTGTTGGGCCATGTGGTGGGCAACACACAGGTGCAGCAGGACATGCAGGTGAACGGCTGCCTTTGTGAATGACGAGACCACCAAGCCCAAGAACGGGTTTCAATCGTTTCTTCGGTGGTGAGAGCTTGTAAATTTCTTTTTTTCGGTAGACACCTTTTGCCAGGTCGTTGAGTCGAGGCAAAGGTCGCAAGGTTTTCCACGCAGTAGCACAGGCACCTCGCATGATCTGTGGGAGTGCGGCGCCGAAACTGCTGCAAGACAAAAACGCACAGAACTGCCAAGCTGCCAGGAAGAGGAGCAGGCGAGTATACATCATTTTGCAGAAGACAGCACGTCACGCTGTGGGACATGGCATCAGCACAGCCCGCTCTTGAAGTTTGCTGTTGGCCGCTCTTTTTCAAGCATATTGCTGCTTGGACCCACAGAGCGGGGCTTTGGACGCAGGTCGGAGGGATACAATTGTCTCTATGATGTATATGGGCTCGTATGCAACATCCATGTTCAGTTCGTCATATTCCTTCCTGCGCGGCACAGCATTGAAGCCTTTGCAGGATATGGACATGCAGCAGCAGCGGCGGTCGGCCAGCGAAGGTTCTTTCGGGTTGCATTTTTTGAGTCGATTGGACATGTTGTGCAAAAGCGTGCTGCTGCAGATGCCCGATGTCGTAAGGGGACGATCTTCAAGCTAGACTTGGTACATCGCAAAGCTTTCGACTCCAACAATCAGACCGGACCTAACGCTATTGGAATGGCAAGGCGTCAGAGTCAGTCAGGTGCAGCCAGATTTGTTCTCAGAGACTGATCTGTGATTCCTAACCTCCCCGCCGCAGGTAAGAAGACCTCCGGGATGTAAGTTGGGCGGCTATCCGCTAGAGACAGTGCATTTGGCACAGAAGATGGGGCTTCGGGGATGACTGTACCTTCGTGGGAACAGCACCCTTCGCGGACAAATCAATGTTCACCTCTTACGTCTGGCCAGCTGCAGCACGGAATCAGCATGGCAATATGTAGTATCGTGTCATGTGCAGATATGTGCAGGCCGAAACACCGCCAGCAAATGGTATCGTTCCGTCACGCCGCACCTGCACAGTCAGGCGGGGTTGTCTGCCGTCGGCAGACCGAATTCAGCAAAGATAGTGAAGCGACATTTTCTTTTTCCACTTGTGTAGACGCTGTGGCCTGTGTCTGCACTCCGGCACAAGGCCCTGGTGGTGTTACATTAGCGTAGACTCAGAGGCAGCCGGAGACACAGACACGCAGACATATGCAGACAGCCATCCAGCCACCCACCATCCACACAGCACACGCACGCACTCAGGCAGCCCTGGCCTTCCTTTAACTTGAATTCGCGCGAACGCCCGGATGACAATGGTCCTTGCAGGATAGAGACAGTCTGGATGACTGGCGGCGAGCCTACGACAATAGGCCACTTCACAGCATCTGGTCGAAGAACAAGTGGAATGAGCCAGTTCGCTCAGCGCTGACCAGCTGTGCAGCGCTGACCAGCTGCTTCCAGAACAGCAGGTTTATGGTCACGTCCCTGCAGTACATGCACCGCCACGTGGGCGACTGCGTCGACCAGGTCTATCGGACGCATGCGGAGAAGCAGGCTGGACTGCTGCATGGCCATAATCGAGCCTTTGCAGTGTCTGCAGAGCAACCTGAAGTGTGGCGCATGGCTGACGGTCATTTGAGAAGGCTTGCCTCTGATCCTTGAAAAGCTGCCGACACTACAAGCTGCTGCCGCGCAGGATTACTTTCGCCAGCATCAGCTGCCCAACTTGACTTGGATGGACCGGTCGGGGAACTCGAGCTCAGGGGCTAAGGGCTGTGACGGGCATCGGGCATACTCTCGCTAAAGCTGTTTGGCGGCTTCGTGCATACAGGCTTGGTTGGGTTTCGCATGCCGCGCCGCTCCGAAAGGTCGCCGCACTCGTTGTTATTGGCAGAAAGCCTTTCCAAGACCTCTCTAGCATCATATTAGTATCCTGCTGAGGTAATTCCTGTGCTAGCCAGTCTAGGGCATTCGTGACTTCTTGCATTCTGTGTAGATGCGAGGTCCAAGTACACACTCGTGTGCCTGTTTGTCACCTTTTGTTAATCATCCGTCTGATTGCTGAGACAAATGAGATTTCTTGTCGTGTCCCCAGTCCATTCTCGGCCATTTTCGCCACAGATCTGCCTCTTCTCTTGGTCCGCCTGTGGCCAGCCGTCCGTGCTACAGAGCAGTCGCGCCTTCACGCGGCATTGGGATGTTTGATCACATCTCGCGGCGGTGAACCGATGGCATTGTGCCGTCTTGAGTTGTGCATCTATGCCAAAGCAATCCCCGTATAGCATGTGCAGAAGCTCAGGTATCTTGTGTACGTGCAGCATAAAGCATATCGGATTTTAAACGGTTGTAGGCTTTGACATCCGAGTTGTGGAGGGAGTGGTGACTGTATGGATGTTGTGTCTGTTCGTTCGTGCGTCGGTCGATCTCCCGAGACTCGCAGCCAGTGCAGCATTTGGTGACGCGTAAATGGTGTAAATTGTTCTTCATAAGGGCCGATGGGGCATCATGTTGACAGTTTCGAGCACCCACCCCAGAGCACTGGGACAGGACCTGCATATGATGACGCATGACAGATCGCTCCGTCAACGGCAGCCCGCGCACCGTGGCAGCATCCAGCGATAATTTTTTTGCAAGCGGCCTGAGTATGCGTCTGTCGGTGGCTGAAAGTTTCAGACGCCATATTATAGATATCAATCTTTCAGTGACATAGTAGGCTACAGTATGTTGAGTTCGGCCTGTGAAATGCTGCTGCTCCGTCAAAGGTACTATGGAGATGTCGGGGGACCACCGCGAATCGGGGCCACTCAAGTGCATGGAGAGACGGGTGATATACTGTTGTTCATCGAGGAGAAGGGTCCACCTAGGGACTTAGGGTTGTGGCCGTCGCAATGTTGACAGTGTCCAAACTTCAGGTCTTAGCAAAGCGACAAGCGACTCCTCTGGCCAACCGCATCCTGCAGCCGAAGCTGAACCTGGGAAGCAAGGCGGTCCAGAACGCAGCATCAGCGGAACTTGGTTTCAAAGCTGAATGTGCAGGCGCTGCGAGGCTACGGTTCCAACTTTGGGAAGTGATTGCAGGGAAGCTCACCTAGTACTGCCACCTTCGCAAAACTGCGAGGCGATGATAGTGCCTTTCGTTTCACCAATCGAACCTAGTCCGGCCTCATAATTTCGAGTGGCAATCTCAGATGTTTCGTGTCAGGATGTCTTCCCCGTCAAGTTCAGAAGTGCGGGTGACGGCCATAAGTAAATTGGGGAAGAGAGAAAACCGAGCCGATGCAATCCCATGCACAATTTGAGCGGTTCTAGGGTGAATGTCATCCTTGTGTGGTGCAGCGCTAAGCTTTGATTTTTGAATTTGTCGAAATGACTGAAGTCCTGGTAGGGCTATACCATTACATACCGTTGCTATTCACTTCACCAGGCGTCCGTGGGCCGTCTCTCGTCTTGTGGTGCGTCGTCGCGTCGTCGGTCCTCATATCGTCGTCCGTCGTCGTGCCGTCTGGCGTCGCGTCTTCCGTCGTCGTGTCGTCTGTGGTGCGTCGTGCGTCGCTGCGTCGTCCGTCGGTGGCAGCGTCCGTCGTCCGTGGTTCTTCATTGTGTCGTCCGTCGTCCCGTCGTTTGGTGTCGGGTCTTCTGGCATCTTGTATATCTTGTCGTTCGGCGTCGCGTCGTTCGTGGTCGTGTCGTCCGTCGTCGCATCGTCTGTCGTCGCGTCGTCGTGTTGCCTGTCGTCGTGGCCTTTGTCTTTTCGTCTCTCGTATTGTCCGGCATCATTATATTGCTATCTTTATTGTAGGGGCTGCGCCCACGGGCGGGCAGCGCAGGCAGAAGCCTGGAGCAAGGTCACGCACCCCCCCCCCCTACGCCGAACCCTGCTGATGCTGATGATACGCGCCTTTGCGAGCTTCCGCAACCCACTTAAAAATTGGCGAAATATTGTCTCGCGCTGTAGGGCCGGTTGTGGGCGCCCCGAGTTGATGCTCGCCGGGGGATCGTCTACGGGGCGGCCCCGAAACGCGCCATAACCTGGGAAATGGTTGCGAAATGCGTGCGTGTTCCCAAAAGCCTCCGGGCGAGGTCTCGCGCGGCCCGGCAGAAAAACGAGGGTCCGATGAAGCAGGGTCGGCGACACTATCGGTCGCGCCTTTTGCTAACACAAAGCTTGCAAGCTATTGCAAGCTACACCTCGGCTAAGCCTCGAACTCGCAGGACGCATGCCCCGAGCGCTGCCCACAGAATAGAAATTGAGACTACAAGTGCGTAGGAGCCTGTAAATATTCGGCTCTGCAGCTAAGTGGTATAAATTTCGTATTCATCCATTCACCTTACACTCTGAATCCTAAGCCCAAGGAGTAAGGCTAGAGAGGGGGGGAGTGGGAGGTGGGGGAGGGGTGCCGCGGGGGTGGAGAGGATGCGGGGCGGGTTTCGGGAGAAGGGAAGAAGGTGGGTGTGGTCGCGAAGCATCGGGATTAGTAGGATAAGTAATTGAAATTTTAGAGGACTATATACTTCTTCGGGAGGCGGTCATATAAAAGAATCGAATAAAAATACAAATATAATTAAAACACATATAATATCTCGTATTCACTAGGCTGCACTATGATTTTGGAGAGTTGGCGGCTCGTAAGTTGTTAGTGATTTTCTTTTATTTCTGTCTATATTATAAGCGCTGGGTGAAGGCTTTTACTTTCCACAGGAGAGACACTTACGGGTGAACGGCTATATAAAATAATTTGGTCGAGACGGCCTTCTTTGGGAACTTTCTTGCAACTATCAACTTGAGA